GAAATAGCAGAAAAAAGTAGGAAAATAGCATAAAGTAGCAGATGTCTAGTTGAAATAGCAGAAAACAGCTAAAGTTAGCAAAAAAGTAGCTAAAACTGGCATGAGAAATTTAGAGGAAGCATAAGCAAAGCAAGAAATGTGAAAAGCTGTGAAGAAATCTGAAGAATTTCAGATGTTTAAAGCAGTTGAAACATAGCCCCATTCAAAGTCAATGGGGCCAAAATCAGCTAAAAAAGTGAAATAGCTAAAAAAAAGTATAAGTAGCTGAAATCCCCGGAGATATAGCAGGCATGGCATTAATGAGCCGGACGTTTTGATATATGAATTGTACGAATCGGACAAAAACTGTGGGAGGAGATAGATGCCGAATAACGTACAATGTAGAGAAAAACAAAAGCAATAGGTTGAATGCCTAAAGGCATTCACCCAATTATTGTTGGAGATTTTCTCTTTAAAATGACATCAAAAACTCCTCCTTAGAATACAAAATATCAACAAGAAATCCTGATTAGGAAGACAAATCAAGGCAAATGTCTGGAACCCAGGATGATCCAGGTAACAAAATAGAGTTAAAAAAGCAGGAATCTGTCCTAATCTGACCTAATCCTTAGTTTAATGTGATTTAGATGCCTGATAAAATGCTTCCTTAATGTATCATGCACTGCAAAAATCAGACAGTAAGTGGAATAAGACAGTTGCACTTGGTAAGACTTCTTGAAATAATGTAAATTTAGATTAGATTAGATTAGATTGGTTTAGACCTGTTTTGTCATTGTACAGAGCACAATGAAATTACAGTTCAGAACACTCATTCATAAGAAGACAGAACATAAACATAGGAGAACAGGTGCCCTGGGTCATGCTGGCAAGGATCATCTCCAAGCTAACGACATAATAATCTAACTCGTTCTGCTCTTGCTCAGTATTTCAGTCTCAAAACCAGATCAAAAATACTTTTTTGTTAAAATTAGATTGTAAGACTTGGTTATGGATAACTGTTGCAGTGTGCATTCATCATGTGCTTTTATTTGTGAACCATAAAATCATTACCATCRTTTAAAAATAGCTGCAGATTCATCTGTCAGACTGCGGCAGAAATAAACACGTGTTTCACTGAGCAKGAAAAATGGCTCGTTCACTTCACGACCTGCTTCACAGAGTTGTTTGTAATGTCAGACCCATGTGACCAAACCGGCCCCCCACAGGCCCCCACTGACAGTGGAGGGTGTCTCCCTATTATTTTGATGATCCCTGTGCCGATAGGGTTACTCATCACCGCTTTGTCCCATGCTGACACCGGATCCACTCAAAGAAAGCAGGTCATTTAGAGGGAAAGCTCACTTCTGCTGACTTACAGGCTGACATCAGAGTCGCCGAGTACAAACGTTACACGTTGTTGTACTTTAGTGACTTTTATCAGGACATTTACGTCTCTGCTCCACTCTCTGTCTTTGCACTGTTGTGTCATGTGTTTGAAGTTGAGCTGAGGTTTATGCGTGCTGCTAATATGCACCAACAGAGACGCCTGCGACGTGCTCCGAGTGCTGTCACATGAACCACGCTTGTTAGCGTTTCAATCTCAATGTTTCGTTTGCACCGAAATAAGTCTCTGGCACGGCAGCGCCTTCGGTGCTGTGGATGAGCTATCCCTCCCACTGGTCCACGG